CAAAGAATCATCCTTATTTGGTCTCTAGAAGTTTGCAGATACTAAAAGTTTAGACATTGAACACTGAACTGTCCTGCTCTTAAGAAAAGGAAGAAAGAGAATTTTTAAGGGAGCTACATTGTCAAAAAGTCAGCTTAATTAAAAGCTAACATTCCAACTACATATTTGTAAACTTCTCTGTTCTTCTTTGATTCTATTGTCCTCAGAAGAAATTTTCAGTCTACTGAACCCCTTTTCTCAAATCCCTGGTAACTAGAACTTCACTGATCCTTTGGGGAAACTTAAGATCTCCTCAGACTCAGTCTTCTAAGATCTGCTCACCCATGTACTTCTGCCCGTCCTTCCTTTTGCCACCTTTGATCTTGGAATCAGCTCTCTCAATATGCTCCCTTTCAAGCTACTACCTTCTCCATTTGATGAACAGCAGATAGAAATTACTATGAGGAAAGAGCAGAGTTCTGGTGACATTATAAAGATACCTCAAGGAGGCTTCTAGATCTCCTGAAATCCCTAGAGGAGAAACAAAGAAGGTGCACCACTGTTCCGTTTATATTGTTCTTGTCTTCCTTACAGAGTCACAAGAGTTGTGGTTGGGACTCCCACAGGTTTGAAACTCTGCTTTCTTTTGCACTGAGCTCCCCGATCACTACGACTTTGGGGGATATCAAGGGTTATTTTATACTGTGAGGTAACACCCAATCTTTGGGTATATGGTTACTGATGAAACATTAGCAACAGCTGCAACTTTAGTGGCAACTGGGAATAATTACAGTAAGTGGTTATTTATAGGCAACAAACTCCACCTTTTGTCCTCTTTGCCTCTTTGCATGCTTAGGTAAACACACACACACAAAACAAACAAAACAAAATCTCAAGTGTCTGACATTCAGCCAGCCATTTATTTTGCACAGGCTTCTGAATATTCTTTTAGGCTCATTTGTATACTTCCTTGTCAATCCTGTAATAAATTATCTTGATTGTATTTTGCCTTGGCATCCACTGTTGATCTCACTCTGTGTCTTACCTAGCTTACACAGTTTAAACTCCTCTTGAAAGAATTTGCAATCTTTCTCTATGCCTTCAAGATTTAAAGATAAATGTCCTGTCCTGTTTCTCCAGAACTCAGTAGATGACTTTAGCCATGTGAGAGATAAACTTTAACTTGTTCGATTTACAGTGGCACAGTTTAGCGCCAACTGTTTAAACTAGTTTTTGTATCTAGGACATCGTTAATATTTTTGAAAAGCTGTAAGATCTCTGTTTCCGTTTGTATTTTTATATGTGCATGTGTACATGTGTGTTTGGCATGTTGTGTCTACATGTATGTTTCTTTCATGTGTTTGTATATTGTCTACATGGTACTAAATTCACTTAAAAACAAATGAACATTTGTAAATTGAATAAGTACAAATACATTTCAAGGTCTTGTGACTTTGGTAATTCTTGGCAAATAAGAATAATATTGATTTCATTAAAACAGATATGTCTGTCACCACAAAATCTAATATAGATACAGAGCTTTTATCTCTAGAAGACATTTAAGATCAATCTTATAAAAGCATGAATTTGACCTAAGAACAAATGAATTAAATATATGAAGTGGGATAAATGCTTACACATAATTTAAAAATAAAATTATTTATGTTTAATTTAAAAGTTTCTCAAATTTGTTTGTCAACTACAGCTTTAGAGATATGCTAAGTTAACTAATAGATATTCATAAAATTTCTAGACAATTTCAAAATAAAATACTGAAACATCAATTACAGAACATGAGGTTTATATTTTCTTCTTTCAGTTTCATACTGCAAACAAACAAAATATATCTGAGTCTGTATTTCCTGTTCCACATTTTAAAAATTGTGAAAAGATATTTCTTAAAATTATAAAATGTATATTCATAAAATGTTAGTATATGATAGACAATTAATAATTGCTTACTTTCTAGGATTTCACTACAAATTAAGTCTACTAAGAGTTAAAATTCTAGTGAATATACATAATTAAAATTGCTAAAATTAAGGGAAACAATTCTGTATGCCAATTAGACAAGAAGAGCATGATGTGTTTTTGGTGAGGAAAGATAAGGCATAGAAGATATGTGAGTGTGGGCCAGGTGAGGTGGCTCAAGCCTGTAATCCCAGCACTTTGGGAGCCCGAGGTGGGTGGATCACGAGGTTAAGAGATCGAGACTATCCTGGTCAACATGGTGAAACCCCGTCTCTACTACAAATACAAAAAAAATTAGCTGGGCATGATGGCGCGTGCCTGTAATCCCAGCTACTCGGGAAGCTGAGGCAGGAGAATTGCCTGAACCCAGGAGGCGGAGGTTGCGGTGAGCCGAGATCGCGCCATTGCACTCCAACCTGGGTAACAAGAGCGAAACTCCGTCTCAAAAAAAAAAAAAAAAAAAAAAAAAAAAAGATATGTGATTATGTGTGTGTGTGTTTAGACAAAATAACTTTGTCTAGTCTAAAGTGTATTCCAAAATTGTATCAGAATACATAAATGGAGAAAGGAATGTTATAAATAAATGGATATAAAAAGTTCAAAAGAGGAAACAGTACAAACATGAATCTTATGTGGTTAAACTGATTAAAGCGAAATGAATTTATTAGAAGGGCTGAAAGTAAAAGTACACTGATATACAACTAGGATTTTGTCTTCTCTTTTTTTTTTTTTTTTTTTTAGAAAGAGTTTTGCTATTGTTGCCCAGGCTGGCGCACAGTGGCAAGATCTCGGCTCCCCAAGTACTAGGATTACAGGAGTGAGCCACCACACCTGACCTAAAGCCTTTTAAATAAACTTGCACTCCTGCTCTGAAACTTGCCTTGGTCTCTTCCTGCCTTATGCACTTCAGTAAGATTCTTTCTTCTGAGAAGGCAAGAATTGAGGTTGCTGCAGACCTATATGAATTTGCCACCAATAACTTAGAAATCTTCCACTGGTAACAAGCCTACATATATACAATCACTATTCTTGCTGCAATTTATGCAAAAAAAAAAAAAAAAAAAGCCCAAGTTAATGAGACTAAACTCAGTTTGCAATTAAAATGGATTTAATGTAATTATCTTTGATAAAAATGGGGGGACAGGAGAGATAAAAATTATGTTTCAGAAGAAAGCTATAGTGTACCTGTTATTATAATCTAGCCCTGCCCATTGATTTCACATTTTAATTATTTATCTACAATCTGGAATGAATCCTGAATTTTTAGTTTCTCCTAATATCTGACTGTGAGTCTCCAAACTAACATTTTAAATCTTTCTCCCATCCTCTGACTTGGAATTACTAAAAGTAAAAACTGCTTTCCTAGAGCTCTGCAAGCTGTAAATGGCTGCCTTGATAAACGGGTGTCAGAGATATTATCTTACATTTAAACTGCAATTCAGGAAAATCTGTTAGATTGCCTTTACATCCTTCTGTTCCAACTGAAGGTACTTCAAACCTAATCTTGGAATCTTCTCAACTAACTGCCCTCTAAACTCTAGAGAATCTATGCTTCAGGCTGCTCCAAATATTAACCTTTGTTTTCTTCTATTTTCATTGAAATGTTAATGTCTCTCTCTCTCTCTTTTATTTTTTTTTTTTTCTTTGACAGGGTCTTGCTCTGTCACCAGGCTGGAGGGCAGTGGTGCGATCTCGGCTAACTGCAACCTCCGACTTCCTGGTGCAAGCTATTCTCCTGCCTCAGCCTCCCCAGTAGCTGGGACCACAGGCATGCACCATCACACCCAGCTACTTTTTGTATTTTTGGTAGAGATGGGGTTTCACCATGATGGCCAGGATGGGTTCAATCTTCCGACCTTGTGATTTGCCCGCCTCAGCCTCCCCAAATGTTGGGATTACAGGCATGAGCCATTGCACCTGGTTGAAATGTCTCTTATTAAAGACTTGTTGGCCTGTACCGTATAGAGACTGAATTCTGATGGGATCTCCTAAAATGAGACACAGCTGCTTAACTGGACCTACCTTTACCCAGGAATGAGAGACTGGTTTAATGAGAGCCTTTGCCACTTAGCTACCAACTTGATTTTTCTCTCTATAGCCTTCAACTCAACTTTTAGTGTGTAAAACTTCTAGGGAAATTTCAGACAGGAAAATGTTAGGCCCAATCAAGCAAGACCTCAAAGTATGGTGCTCTGGCATGCTGAGTACCTTGAATTAAAAGAAATTGGGTGGCCTTAGAAGCTGCCACTAAGAAACTTTGTTTTTCTGTACTTGCGAGAGGAGTCTTTTTACTGCATTCTGGTTTAAATGTAAAACGTCATCTTTATAATAATTTCCAAGACCAACTAAAAGGCTTTACTGTAAAGTATCAAAACAGAAGATAGGAAACTGACTCAATTCCTTGGATTATACTTTATATTGCCTAAAAAAATTATTATAAAAACAATAATACTTTTATGTACTGAATTAGACATGTAGAAACATTTTCATTTCAGTGTTAAAGGTGTTGAGAACTTGTTCTTTTCTGTAAGAACATGAACATGATATATATGTTTTATTTTTAATTTATTTTTTAAATTAGGAAACAGGTAAATTTTTACTTATAGCAACATAACTTGGAAAAAAAGATGGAACACAGATGCTGAGGAGTCAATGCAATGTAATAAATTACAAATGATAATGATGATTGTGATTAATGATGATAATGATAGCTAAAATTTATACCTTACAAAGGACTTACCTTGTACCAGGAACAACTTTAATGAGGTGATATGTATGTGTGTTTGTATATATAGATGCCGAACTACTTCGAAAAGTTAGTGCCTTTTTTTTTTTCTTTTTTTTTGCTAACACCTGGTACTTTATTAGTGGGGAAACTCGCCTTGGTCTGGCAGAGACTGGGATGCACAGGACCAGCGCGCATTCTCGAGGGGAGTATTTTCTGGAAGATCAGGTGTTCCTCCTTATAGGTTTAGAGGAAACACCCTCATAGATGAAAAGCCCTTAGAGAGCAGCGCTGCAACTGCTAGGCAGCCGAGGTAGGAGGGGGGCTCTAGGCATACCTGGGTTCTTGGGACAGCAGGACTTCGATGTCAATGGTCTGGAAGCGGCGGCTGTACCTGCGCACGGGGACACCGTCAGGGCCCACCAGGAATTTCTCAAAGTTCCATACAACAGTGTTGCGGCCTACCGGAGACCCTGTCAGGAGCTTGGGGTCGGTCATAAGCACAGTGGCATCGTCGCTGGGCGCTGGCAGGGCCTCCTGCAGTAAGGCGAAGAGAGGGCGCGACTCCGCACCGTTCACCTCCCACTTCTCGAAGAGCATGAAGCTGGGCTCGAACCCACCACCTGGTCTGACGTACTTGAGGGAATTCCGAATCTCTTCGTTCCTGGCGTTCTCCTGATGTCCAAACTGGTTGCACCGGAAGCTGAGCACAACCAGGCCCCCGGGCCCGAGGCGCCGCTGCAGCTCGTTCATCCGGTGTAGTCCCGGACCATCGTGCCTCAGGGGGACGCCACATTCCCGATAAGCAGCGCCTTCCCCGCAGGGAACCCGGGGTCACAGGCTCCCCGCCCGCCAGCGGGCGCGCCGAGAAGATTACACCGACTGGGCCGCCGCGGCTAGCCGAGCAGCAGCACCCGTGGCGCAGCTATCCGAGAAGCTAAGGGAGCGCCCCGAAACAGCCGGTTAGTGCCATTTTTAGCCTCATTTTACAGGCGGGGAAAACAAGGCAAACGATGTTTCAGTACCTTGTCCAAGTGCACACCATTAATGAGTGCCAACTGTGTTAAAGATCTAGCAGTTTATCTGTATGGAGAATTAGAGACAGCTCGAGTAGCCCAAACTGCTTCAGAACTGGTCTTGGATATTAGTGTATGTAAGCACATATGAAACATGTCTTTAAGAAACTGATTATGTTTCATGGAAAACTGGCGTTAGAAAAGAGTGGGACAAAGATCAACCTGCGAAAAATGGAGAAACAAATGTAAAAACCATTGTTCCGTAACTGGAACTTTTTATTTTAAAATTTTTAAGGTGCGATTGTCATAACGTGGCTTTGGAAGCAGATGGATTTGAGTTTGCAGTTCGTCTCTACAGTCTTTTATATTTTCTACCTTGATAACCAAGGATAAATTACTATCTTGTCTAAAATTTTGGTTACTCATTAATTGCTGTACATATTTCCTTGTGAGATGTGAAAGGATTTTATGTGAACCTTGTGCAAAGCCTCTTAGCACATATGGTTAGTTCAAGAAGGTTATTTTACTAGAGATTTTCTCCTGGAATCATTGACTTCTGCAACACACACATTTTCTCAATCTTAATATCCCAGCCTTCCACCTCTTTCTTCTCAACCTAAGCAAATCACTTTGCACTCCTACCCACAAAGAAGTATCTATCAGATGTAAACTTTATCAGTTTTACTTGATCTAGTTGGAAAGACTAATTAAACTAATAAAGATGCAAATGGTCTTTAATTATAAATACATATTCTTAATATAAAATTAATATACAGTTCTGAGGATATATACCCTGATACTATTTTGAAGACAGAACATACCATCTGGATAAATGATTTTTAAACTGTAGCCCATAGACTAATCAAAATGAACTAAAGTGTTTATTAAAAGGAAGACTCCTGCTCCACTCGATAACTTCTGAATTAGTGACTCTGGGATGGGACTCAGTAGTATATATGCTTAGCAAACTTCCCAGATGCATCTCATCAATTGAAATTTGAAAGTCACTACATTTTAAGGCCAAATTTATATATTGTTCACTCACCAGGAGACTAATATAATGCCTGCTCCATAGATAACGCCCAATAATCTTTTAATGAAAAGCTAGGTGGAACGAGTGGAAGCCTTTCCCATTTCTGGAAAAAAGTATTGCTATTAAAGTACATTCACCTCTGCATGTCCCAGACAGTAGCAGAGCAGAGCAGCTTTGCTGTGAGACTCCCTGCTCCAAGGCACAGGGCTCTATTTAATCTGGAGAGTGCTGCTTTCACAGGCACTCTTCCCTCAGGGCTTTTGCACTTGTGTTTCTATCTTCCTGAAAGGTTCTTTCTTCAGATAATCACAGGCTTGCTGTATAACCACCTTTGATTTTTTTGCTCAGGTGGCACTTTGTAATTAAGGTAAAATTCTTTCCCAGAGTTCCGAATTCACCTTCCTTTTTTTTTTTTTTTCCATGCAAAGCATTTATTATTTTATAATATAAAAATAATTTGCTATTTTTTGTTTATTCAGTGTCTCCTCAATCTAGATTATAAGCTTCATGAAAGTATGGCTTCAGTTTGATTTACTCATTGCTGTTAGTCCAAATGTCTAGAAAAATTCCCGACTTATAAGTGCTCAATAAACCCTTGTTGATTGTAACTTATATGAAATTTTAACCTTTCAATTTATGTGTTTGGTATCTAATAGAATCCATCTGAATATATATTTATACATACGTATAGTCATATACATATATGTAAAACAAGTGTAATTTCTCTTAAATTTTTCATTAGGTGATAGAAAACAGTAATTTTTACCATCATCAAATAAAATTTATATGCAAATCAAAAATTATTTTCAGGGGCCGGGCGCGGTGGCTCACGCCTGTAATCCCAGCATTTTGGGAGGCCGAGGCGGGTGGATCATGAGGTCAAGAGATCGAGACCATCCTGGTCAACATGGTGAAACCCCTTCTCTACTAAACATACAAAAAATTAGCTGGGCACGGTGGCGCGTGCCTGTGATCCCAGCTACTCAGGAGGCTGAGGCAGGAGAATTGCCTGAACCCAGGAGGCGGAGGTTGCGGTGAGCCGAGATCGCACCATTGCGCTCCAACCCGGGTCACAAGAGCGAAAATAATTCTAAAAAAAAAAAAAAAAAAAAAAAAAAAAAGAAGTATTTTCAATACTGTGATTCACATAAACAGTAATTGGGAAGCATGATCACAAATAAAATAGTGTAAACAAAAACATTGGTACTTAATTGTAATTGAGATAGGAAAATTGACAATTTCTTTTAATTTTGGCAGCCATGGAAGAGTCTATTATTTAAATATTGTAGGTTTTGAAAAATAAATTCAGAAGAATAACATTGAAGATAGTCTTTCCCAAGCTCCTAAATAAATGTAAGAAATATCCCTTTAGTTTTTTAGTGATAGAACAATGTTTGTTTTTCCTGATATGGTGAATTTCAATTCAAATAATTTATAAATAACTACAATATATGTTAATTTCAAAGAATTAGGGGTACATTAAACAATATCACTATATTTCTCTTCATTTTGCGCTTGTATTTCTCACCATTTCTACGCTCACATTTTAGGGCAAGCTACTTTCATCTCTTTTGCAGGCAAACTTTACAAATTATGCAAACTTAATGTAATAATTTAAAAATTGTTATAGAGCTTTTATTTTTTGTCTTTCTGATTATTTGACCTTTGATCTATTATTCCGGAGGACCAGTCTGCTTCAGGATCTAGGCAGTGGGCTGAGTAGATTATAATTTGTTGCTGAATGAAAACAGTGAAAAATATGGAAAATATATTTCACTTCCAATGCGATTTTGCAGCAAGATAATTGTGCAGTAGTGAATTTTACTGAGAAAAAATAATTTATATTACTTGACTTCTACCTTTATATTTACAAAGGGCAAGGGCTTAGTACTTATATTACAGTTTCCTATTGTTCAAAAAGTTCGTCTTCCATTGTGGCAACAGGTGCTGACTACTGGTGGTGGGAGAACTTGAGAAAGGGAGAGTAATCTGAAAATTTGCCTTCTTCTGTTTTTGGGAATAGGGATTAAAGTATAGGGAGGGGAGGAAAGGAACAGAGCCAGAGAAATAAGAGAAGTCTGAACATCCAGACTTAGGAGGACTCTTGGGAAGGCATGATTATGTTTTGGAACATGAGGACATGAGATTTGGGAGTGGCTCTGGCAGAATGATATGGTTTAGCTATGTCCCCACACAAATCTCATCTTGAGCTGTAGTTCCCATGATCCCCATGTGTCATGTGAGGAACCAAGTGGGAGGTAATTGAATTAAGGAGGCAGTTACTTCCATGCTGTGAGTGAATTCTCACAAGATCTGATGGTTTTATAAAAGGACCCCCCCCCCCGCCACACACACACACTTTGCTCTGTACTTCTCCTTCCTGTGATCATGTGAAGAAAGTTGTGTTTACTTCCCCTTCCACCATGATTGCAAGTTTCCCGTGGCCTCAGCCATGCTGAACTGTGAATCAATTAAACCTCTTTCCTTTATAAATTAGTCTCCAGTATATGATTACTAACATCATGAGAATGGACTAATACAGTACTCATCTGAAAATTCTATTTTCGGTGAACTTTTTTCAAAGTTTTCACTCTATAATTGCTCTTACTTCATTATTTTCACTTGTGCATTCTTTCCTTATCTTCCTAACACATACTGTTCTATCATTATGTAGTCATTTGCATATATATCTGTTTCATGTCTGTAAGCTCCATGTATCTGGGGAGTCTACCCATTTTACTTATTTACCACTACCTATTCAGGGTCTGGTCACTGCGTGGCACATAGTAAACATTTTATATTTTAAAGAATTAAAGGGAAATTTAAAAAACCCAAAAACTAGGCCTAACATTTTTGCAATGCAGCTTTGATGCCTGCTCCATTATGTCTCTGTAATTATAATGCCAACTTCGTAGTTATTTTTATTTTCTTTATCATCTAAATTAGTGCTATCTGCTCTTGTCTTTGCCCAGGTAATTGTAACCTCTTGTATATTGTCTTAAGTGGACTTGATTTTAAAATGGGTATATTTTACAGAACAGGAGAAAAAAAAAGACAAAAAGTTATCAACTACAACTAAATGATCTGTGGGAGCTTTAAAAACTTAACCTAATTCTCTGAATCTGAAAGTGATTGATTGCATAAAAGGTTCATTTATAACTAGCTTCTAGAATTGCTAATATTTGTAATGTACTACAGACCAAGTCTTCACAAAATAGATGCTAAACTAATGGCAGCTATTTAAAATCATAGAGTATCACTCAGCTCACAGTGAGTACACAAATAGATACTGTATGATGTACACTGCAGCCTCAGGGTCTTTATTTGGGCTACACAAATACAAAGCACTAGGATAACATTTTCTTTTAACTCTTTATTTTCTGAAGGTTCAAGTGATAAGCAATGTAACTTTCTTTTTTTGTGGGTGTGGGCATTGGGAAAACAGGGTCTTACTCTGTTGCTGAGGATGGAGTGCAGGTGCAGGATCTAGGTGTTCTGCAACCTCTGCCACCCAGGCTCAGGTGATCCTCCCAGTCCAATAGCTGGGACTACAGGTATGCACCACCACACCTGGATAAGCTTTCCTATTTTTAGCAGAGATGGTGTTTTGCCAAGTTGCCCAGGCTTGTCTTGAACTCCTAGGCTAGGGTGATCTGTCCACCTTGGCCTCTCAAATTGCTGAGACAACTGGAGTGAGCCACCATCCCCAGCCAGAAGTGCTGTTTTTATCACTTCTCAAACCCACAGAATAACAAATAAAATGCAGATGCAAAAATGACTATCTTTTGGTATGTCTACCTGAAATGGTAAAGCACTTATTACTGAACATGAGTCAAAC